ACCCTGCCAGGCCCTGCCAAATCCTTTAATCCTAAACCCTATCAAACTCAGCTCCATGATACTGTGGGTGGACAAAATCTTGCATGAGCCTGAGTACAGTATAGCACCATAATTCCCGTAGTTTAGGTATATGGGAGTTTCCGAAAATCGGGGACCCTAATCTAGTACCCTAAATAGTAGGATCCTTATTATAAGGACCCCCAAATAAGGTACCCCTATTTTCGGAAACCCCCATATGGAGTCATGCAGGATTTTGTCCATCAGCCGTACCTCCCTGCCGAGCACAGGCTGAGCCTCTCCTCCAGCCACTCGCGGCCGAGAGTACCCCCTGCCAACTCAGTGGTCCTGAAGATGCCACATTTGGGGACTAGGGGTAAAATGGGGGTTTGTGGTTTAGTGGCTCCCTTAAGGGTTAGGGATTAAGGTTTAGAGTTCCTGAAGATGCCGCATTTGGGGATTACCTATAGTCTCCATTGTAGTTCCTTTTTCTGGTTTAACCAATTTTCTAGTAAGGATCCTAAAAGGTAACCCCAAAAAGGAACTACAATGGAGACTATAGGTAGGTGGAAAATGGGGTTTGGGGATTAGGGTTTAGGGCTCATTTCATGGATTAGAGTTTACGATTCCTGCAGGGGTTCAGGGACTACGGCTCCTGTATGTGTCTAAGGATTGATTTTTAGGGCTCTGTTCAGGGTTCATGGTTTCGCGGTTTTCTGAATTAAGGGTTTGGGGTTTCGAGTCCCTTTCGGGGTTTCGGGTTTAGGATTCTTTTAAGGGTTTGGGGTTTAGAGGTTTCCTTAAGGGTTCAGGATTTAGTGGTTTCTTTTAGGGTTTAGGGTTTATGGGCCTCTTTAAGGGTTTGGGGTCTAAGGTGTCCCTAAATGGTTCTGTGAGTGTGGCCTATGTGATACATGTACACATCCGTAAACCTAAAGCCTCGACCCGAAAACATATCCTTACCAGTGTTACACAGGTTCACAAGTCAAGGCTTGCCGAATCCTGAGATGTTGACGGCAATGGGCATCCGCGTTTCCTACAAATTATGTAAGAATCCTTTCGGGAGGGGGGCACGTCGAACCATAAACCCTGAATCTCGTATTGCAGATCTATATCAGGGGCCCTGAGTAGGGATCGCCGTACCTTTGCTTCTTCCACAGGTTCCGGTACGTTTGGGGAACGCTGCTTCAGCGTCGAGGGCTTTGGGGTTCGGGCTTGTTTGGCAGGGTTACGGTTTAGGGCTTCGGGTTTAGGGTTTGGGCTTTAGGGTTTAGGACTTGGGGTTTCGAGTTTTAGGCCTCGTTCAGGGAGTCGATTGTCTAGCTTTACTTAAAGGATCATGGGACTTAGTAAGTAGGTTATAATTGGGGTTATAAGTCCCCTAAGTGGAGTTATCCTAATTATAGCCTACTTATAACCTTACTTACTAAGTCCCATGAGCCCTTAAGTAGCTCCACATGACTTGCACTCGCTGGTTGGCCAGGCGAAGTCTCAGCGAAAGCAGTCGTCATATGCCTCTTCAAATGTAACCATTGAGATAGATAGATAGACAAGCAAATATACACATAAGAATATATGTATATTTACAAAGGGTATGTATGTGTGAATATGTATATATATATATATGCACAAATACATACGTACATACATACATACATACATACATACATACACACACACATGTGCTTCTGGACTTCTGGTGTTTCTATACATAATTAGACACACAAACAATCTAGCAACCTATGTGCTTATCAAATAAACGTGGGCGAAGCGAGCGAGAAAGAGCGAGAGAGAGAGAGAGAGAGAGAGAGAGAGAGAGAGAGAGAGAGAGAGAGAGAGAGAGAGAGAGAGAGAGAGAGAGAGAGAGAGAGAGAGAGAGAGAGCGAGAGCGAGAGCGAGAGCGAGAGCGAGAGCGAGAGCGAGAGCGAGAGAGAGAGAGAGAGCGAGAGCGGGAGGGAGGGAGGGACAGAGAAAGAGACAGAGACAGACAGAGAGAGAGAGGGAGTAATGTAGCCTCTCAGGCATAAACACCAAAAGATTGCTAGCTTGTTGAGTGGGAAAGGAGGCCAGACCATCGGATCTGCATCACCACGGCCCCAAGTCAGTTAAGGCACAACCGCATGTCAGTGAACTCGTGGGTGCCGGAGTGAGGCATGAGGGTGACGGGTTCAGTCCAAGAGCAGGACTCAGGCTTGAGCGCTTCGGGGTTCAAGTACTTCAAGGCACCCACAGCACAGACATCTCCTCGAGGGAAGGATGGTTCCCTTTTAAGGGTCCTTTGCATTTGCAGTTAAACAACTGTGGAAAACGCCTTAAGCGGAACAAGGACAAGCCCAAAAGCAGGGGCATGCTTGCTGCTGAGTGCTGGCGTCGTATGTTGTGCAAGTACGTGGTACTCCCTGAGACCACGGCCCATTCGCTGCAAACCTCGGGGAATCGTTCTGAAGGGCAGCTCTCTTGCAAACAAAGGCGGCCTAGTGGTGGTACCCTAACCTTATACCCTGAACCCTAAACTCGAAACCCTACACCCTATACCCTTACTCCTATACCCAACACCCTCAACCCCTGAAGGCTCTGGCTTTGTCTCTGACATCTGAGTTCTGACATTGAGCGCCCGGCAGCGGACAGGAGAGTAGCCTGTCGCCCTTCAGAGGCAGGACCTAAAGGCGAGGCGGTTTAGGGATTTGGGTATAGGGTTTAGGGTGTTACAGGTTTAGGGGTTCAGGGTTTTTTAGGGTTTTGGTAGAGGGTTTTGGGTTTCGAGGTTTTGACTTCGATGCGCCTACACTAGGCCCTAAAGCCCAAATCACTCGACACCTAGGGTCGTAGGCCCCGAGCCCTAAACTTGGAATCCTGAACCCTGGCTCCCCTACACACGGTTTAGGGTTTAGGGTCTAGGGAACCAACCCTGCACCAAGCATGAGGATTCGCGTAATCTTGTTGGAAAGCAGACCAAAAGAAAGCTGCTTTGGGGAGCCCTGCTAACAGAAACCAAGACCCCACAACCCTAAATCCCCCCTCCCCCCCAAAAAAAACAGAAAGCAAAAAAGAGAAGTACAGCAATCTGCTGGGCCATGCTGATCTGCCCATGGACTTCCGCAGTCGGATTCTAGGGGAAGGGTTTAGGGTTTGGGGTTTTAGGGGTGTTGGAGGGCATAAACTCGAGACGCCGGCCGTCGCATGGCAGCTCTCAGAACGGTGGCAGGTCACTGCCAAATCCTGCCCACCGACCAGACGCGACAGGGCTTCATGCGGGGCTTCTGTGGCTTATAAGGGTTTCGGGATGAATTAGGGTTTCGGGTTTGAGGCTTAGGGATTCAGGGATTTGGTTCAGGGCTTCAGGTTCTGTATGTGAGCTCTCATGGGTGTCCTTAATCACTGCTTCCCCCGAGTAGTGCCCTCACCGATATTCTATGGAGCCCATATGCACTGACTCCCGAATACAACCCCTATTTCACAGTCACAGAGTTTGCCTTAACCCTAAAGCCTAACCAGCCTGAGGGTCGGGTTGCATTACAGCATAACCAATGCTACTTCTTCATGCTCCTACATTACTTCAGTCCTTGCTGCGGGTGACTCATATGGGTAGTTGTCAAAATTAGGGTCCCTTTTTGGGTCCTTATTATAGTACGGCGCCTAATATTTAGGGTACCCAAAAGGAGACCACAATTTTGACAACCACCCATACGGTTGATGATATAAATCCTGCGTTACCGTAAGGACCCTAAACTATGGGAATTCTGGTATATTCCGTATTATGGGTAATGCAGGGTTTATATCATCAACCGTATCAACTAAATGCACAACCAAACAGGAGCTGCCGATTCTGGTCGAGGCATCCTCAACCCTTCCTGACGACGAGTTGATGCTAGGCATCCAAAAGGGCTCCATAAAGGGATCTATAGGGTTCCTTAAAGGGATCTAGGGGTTCCTTAAAGGGATCTATGGGGTTTAGGGTTTAGGGTCTACTTGGAGGGGGCAGGGGACTTAGGAAGTAGGTTATAAGTAGAGTTCTAAGTACCCTAAACGGAGTTTCCCCAATTATAACCCTACTTACAAACGACTTACTAAGTCCCCTGCCCCTCCAAGTAGGCATCCAAAAACGACTCCGACACCTTCAACAAGCATTAAACCCTGACGGTGGGATGGTTTTCTTTTCCAGGAGCCTCAAGGCAGCAGCTTGGGTTCCGGGGCGTGCGCCTTTAGTTGACGGTCTCCCTCAGCCCGAAACCCCTCTGGGTGCATATGTGCGAGTTGGCTGTGTTTATTCATTCGACATTGAGGTGGCAAGGCCGGACGAACTACTGTCCGGGACAGAGTTCCCCGATAGGCTTTGGAGATTGGGGTTTGTTTGCAATTGTTTTGCCATGTAAGCTTGACCACCGGCAGGCGCCCTGAGAGCACATTGCAGTACATCGTCTTGGGCTTCGATACCAGAATTCCTGACCCCTAACCTTACTCAACCCCAAATCAACTTGAAACCCCAGGGTCCAGGGTTGAAAAACAATCGTCGCCGCGGTCTTTTTCTTGCCTGTGCAGATAGCCGGTATAAGCATTAAGCAATGACTAGGGCTAATCGAACCAGGGTGAAACGCCCCGAGGGTCCAAAGTGGCAAACGATTAGGTGCATGGGTTTAGGACAGTAGCAATGCACACTTCACGTTTTATGATTGTCTTCAGAAGCATCTTGCTAACTATCCATACTCATTCATATCGTGACACAAGTTAAGAAGGCACTTGGACCCTGAGGGACAGGGAGCATCTGGGCGAGACTCATGGTACGGTCTTGTCCTTACAACGAGTATGGCAAGTATGGTTGACCAGCAATAGCCACGCCCTCGTGCTGTATGCGCAGAGCAGAAAAACCTTGGCTGGCCAAACAGTGGATCCATCCTGTCTCCTTGATGCCTACACAGACGGACAGACAAACAGACCGACAGACCTTGGCACGTAGATTAGATCTGCTGCAACCCGATGAGCATCCAAGGTGCGGGCAGAAGTAACTAGGTCTTTTCCCGGATGGCGCTGTACAATGCCTCGTCCAGCTGTTTTGGGTTTAAGCTTAGGGTCTGTAGCTACCCTAGCCGCTTAACCCGGTCGCCAAACTCAATCTATCCAACGGCCCCGGTCGCTATTAGCCTAAATGGGAGTTTCCCGAAAATAGGGGACCCTGATCTAGTACCCTAACTAGTAGGATCCTTAGTATAAGGACCCTCAATAAGGTAGCCCTAACTTTCGGAAATTCCTAATTCCTACATCCTGAACCCTGGCGAGCCAAGGCTTCCTAGGCTTAAGGACCAAGTTTAGGCTTCCTAGGCTTGAGGGCTTAATTTAGGGGTGCCTTCTGTTTTGAAGAGTGCCTAAACCCTAAACCCTAAACCCCTAAACCCTGAACCGCACCTCTTCCAGCTGCTGTTTCGCCACCTGTGAGTTGGAGATGTCCTTCTCTACCTGTCCTGCGACTCCAGCAGCTTGGGTCTGTTTTGGTTCGGGGTTTGGGCGTAGGGTTTAGTGGGACCTACCAAACCCTCCTTAATATGAGCCCTAGTATGGATTTTGATGGGGACCCTACAAGAAAGTGGGTTTTGGTAGGTTGAGGTAGGGTTTGGGGTTTCGCCGGTAAGGGTGCAGGGTTTGGGGTTTTAAGTTTCGGGCTTCGGGCTGGGATTGATCATCCTATGCAATGCTTGCCCATTGGCTGGCAAGGAACCGCTGCGAAACCCTAAACCCTAAAACCCTAAAACCCTAAACCGGGATCATCTCCATGCACAGCGACCACATCGGCAGGACCGGGCCACGGGTGCCACTGATGGGAGGCCAATAGGGGGGTTTAAGATTCTTGGGGTTCCTTAATATGAATCCTATTATGGGAACCCTAATCCCGACTAAACCCCCATACGCTAAAACCACTTTTGGCCTCCTATGAGCCACCAGTTCACAGGTGATGCCTCAGGTCCCCGAGAAAGCCGTTCCGCTCGCCGAATTCGACGGTGCACTGGTAACAGTTGAGCGAGAGACCCTTTGCGGTGCAGTCCGTCTTGCAGGCTGCATCGGCTCTGCTCCTGTCGCCTATGTTAGCATGGCCATGGTCATCCTGCTGCACGGATTGCCCATCCGTCGAGATCTCCATGCCGTACTCAACTGAGTCGGATTCGAAGTCGCTGCCAGGGCCATCGCTCTGCTCCTTCGCTGGCTGTCATTCCGAGGTCCAGTAGTCCTCGACTTCCTCGGCCTCGTACCAGCCATGGTACTTGTGCTGCAGCTCTTGAACTCGTCGAAACCGCTATACTGATACTGAACTTAGACCCCTAGCAAAATTGCAATCTTAGCTGTTTCTTAAGGGATTAAAGGAACCAAAGATTGAAAATCATTTCTATCCATCTCTAAAAACATCGCAAGCCCAAGGAGTACCTACCCCTGCAACGGAGTAGATTCTATGACTCATGTTTATGCGGATTTGTGGGCCCCTACAACAGCAAGATATGTATGCGCTGCATGAAACCCCTTGTGTGCACCGGCCCTTGGGGTAGGTGGTGGCGAGCCGCAGGGCGAGCATCATCAGCATCAGCTGGAAGCTTCCCTCCGATCTTGAACTGCCACAGTGTAGCATTTCGACCCACTGATTGGACGGATTTGACAGGCCAGAGGGCGAACAACATCAGCATCAGCTGAACTTCCTTTCAAGCTCGCTCTCTCTCTCTCTCTCTGTCTGTGTCTCGCTCTCTCTCTCTCTCTCTCTCTCTCTCTCTCTCTCTCTCTCTCTCTCTCTCTCTCTCTCTCTCTCTCCGCGTGGATGGATTTTGCGAGCTGCATCATCAGCATCAGCTGGGGAGGCGTAGCAGTTCCACTCAGTGATTAGACAGCGGTCAAACGATTTCGCGAGCCACAGGACGAGCATCATCAATATCAGCTGGGCTTCCTTTGCACCCCTTGCAGTATAGCAGTTCGACGCAGCGAGTGGGCGGATTTGGAGGGCCAGGGACCACGACATGAGAACCTTTCTCCCGTGTAGCAACTGCAGTCGGCGGCGGCTTGCCCTAAATAGACCCCCTCTTTTTAACACAGTGAGGCCTTTAAACATTCTTGACATGAAGGTCGCTGCGGGGCTTTCGCGTTGGGAGTGAAGTGGTCAAAGTCGGGTTTGGAGTACTTTTGCCTAAACTCTACCTGGACCCTAAAAGCATTCCTTAGGATTCTCTATTATGATTTCCTTGTAAAAGGACTTAATTTAATTAAATACGGGTTATTTAGGGTTCAGGTAAACCCTAAACCCGAGAAACACCCCTATAGAATCCTTAGCCAGAAAATCGCTTTAGGGCCTAAGAGTTCGCCAAAAGCGCATGTATCGACAACACAAGAGCCTGTGTGAGTTCGGCAACCCAGGTCTTGGGAAAGCTAATCTTTGGGTCCAAACAGTACAGGAAGTTTGATCGTTAGAACAGGGTTTGGGGATATATTGTACAGCATGCTTGTATAACGGCTTTAAACGTACACTACTACCTGAGATCCACAGACTAACCTGACAAGGTGGGAGTAGACACAACTTCTGAACACCCTGAACTCTACAAACCCGAAAATCCCGCAAACCCTCTACACTTCAAGCCCTTGATCATTAATCCACAGAAACTCTGTCACGCAAAAGCTACCTCTCAACAAGCAAAGGAAACACACTCCAAGCTTCAAACAACCCTTGAAGAACAATCCAAAACAACTCTTTGCAAAAGCTCTCAGCCCGTGTCCTGCATCTCGGAACATCTGGCCTAGGCGCTTTAGGGCCTGTGCTCGTCGGTATCGAATTTGCCAGGGAACGCTCATGTCCTCGAGACAGAAGAGTTTGCGAAAGGTACGGCTCCTGCTCTGTCGGCTTTTCAGAATGGTTAAACTTAGCTAAAGGTTTCGTTTAACGCTTTGCAAGGGTGAGTCCTAGGCTTTGGGTCCATATTTTGGGTTCCTAAACCCTAAACCCTAAACCCTAAACCCTAAGCCGTAAACCCCTAAACCCTAAACCCTAAACCCTAAACCCCAAACCCTAAACTGAAGCTCGCAATTTTTGACTTCAAGATCCTGAGGCTTGGGAGGCTCTTAGGGGCAGTGCAGGGCCTTAATGACTAAATTTAGGGTTTAGGGTTTAGGGGTTTAGGGGTTTAGGCTTTAGGGTTTAGGGGTTTAGGGTTTAGGGTTTAGGGTTTAGGGGCATGTTATAACCAACATATAGTAGGGCCCCAAGGGGAGCCATTGTGTTCAACGTGCTAATTAGCTGGTTTTCAGCAGCCCCTCTTTTCCTACTGCTTGGTTTAAACAGGGGAACCCATCAAGAAACAGGCCAAAAGGGCACGACTGGCGAACCTACTTGGAGGGGCAGGGGACTTAGTAAGTAGGTTATACGTAGAGTTATAAGTACCCTAAATGGAGTTGCCCCAATTACACCCTTAATTGTGAACGACTTACTAAGTCCCGCCCCTCCCAGTAGCTACTCAGGCCCTAAACCCTAAACCCTAGGCTTAACGGTTCAGGTTTTATCTCTATCGGGCTCCCAGGGTTTGGGAGTGTAGGGGTGTATGGGGGTTTGGAGTTGCTGTAAGGGGTCATGCAAGGGTAGTATACTTGGAGGATCATGGGACTCAGAAAGGAAGGTGGTAAGTTCCTTCGTTGGGGCTATATCGGAATTATGTTTCGTTTGCCTCATCATAAGCCTAGTTGCTAAATCACCTGATCCTTTCAGTAAGGGCTCTTTTGGGTTAAGGGCTTTCCGGTTCTGTGGAGCTGAGGACCCCTAAACCATAAACCCTTAAGGTTTAGGGCTTAGGGTTTAGGGTTGAGGGTTCATTCAGAGTTGAGTCCTTGAGAACTTTGTCGCAGACTTTGTACAACGTGCTCTCGATGTCCTCAGTAGCGATTGCTGCTCGCTAGTCTGGTCTTTCTCAGACTTGGGGGTCTGGGCAGCGGTTTAGGGCTTAGGGTTAAGGGTTCAGAGCGGCTTTTCCAGCGTTCATGCAAGAGCTTCAGCAGCACCACAAGAAGCAAGGTAAGGGCTTGAGGCGCACAATGCATCCCAGCAACCATCTGCGAGACATCCCAGATGGTCTGCAGAAATACCTGGGCAGATCTACGGTCGGAAGCTAGCGGTCTATAAGCCCTGACTTCTACATTTGCTACCCGTAAACCAAGCGAGCAAGCCTTACGTCACAAAAACAACAAAATTCAGAAACCTCTGAAGCCCAACACGCGCGAACCAACATGCTTGAAACGCCTGAGAAAGTGGGCTAACTAATTAATGTAACATTGAGGTCCCTACACTAAACCTTTATAGCAACCCTTATTGCAACCCTTTCAGAGCCCTTTAAAAGGAGCCCGTACAGGTGTCCCCAGAACCTTAATGACCATTAAAGCCTGATTTAGGCTTTCGGGGTTTTGGGTTTTGGGGTGTTAAAAGGCTCAAAGGGTTAGTGGGTTTTGGATCTCGGAGATCAGGGGTTCAGAGATTGAAAGCGTTCAGGGGTTTAAAGAGTTTCGGGATTTAAAGTTTAGGGTTTAGGGCTCAGGGTACCCACCATGCTATCAAACCCTAAACCCTAAACCGTACCCACATCGAGGTCCGGGGGACGGGAAGAGATCCTTCGAATGAAGTCATGGCCTGTCTGGCCGCCTCATCGCGTTTGGCTTGGTCCTCGGGGTTTAGGGGTTTGAGGGCTTAGGGTTTAGGGCTTAGGGTTTCGGGTTTAGGGCTTATAGGGTTTAAGGTTTTATGCTAGGGAGTTGGGATTTAAGGTTTCAGAGTGAATTCATTTAGAGCCTGGGGCTTTTAGGGTTCAAGGTTTAGGCGTTAAGGCTACAGAAAGCTTAAAAGGTGTCTTGAGGTTGAGGGCTTACAGTTTGTCGTTCCTAAACCCTAAACCCTGAACCCTAACCCTAAACCCTAAACCCTAAACCCCCGAACCCGAAACGCCTAAACACTGAACCCTAAACCCTACACCCCTGAACCCGAAACCCTAAAGCCCCAATCCCTGAACCCCTGAACCCTAAACCCGGAACCCTAAACCCTGAACCCACCTGAGCTGCTCAGGGAAGTTTATTCTTCGAACTATCAAGGGTTGCGCCTCGTCAGACATCCCTGCCCCGGCCGCATCCGTCATCTCCTTTACCTGGAGATGGGGAGTGCCGGTCCCAGGAGAAATGGGCTTAGAAAAAGGGCTAAAGGGATGTTTACGGGGACCTGAAGAGGCTTGGGGCTCTGACTAAGGAATTCGGTGGGTTTTAAGGTGTGTTTTGTTTGAGGGCTCTTTTCCGTCTGCACGAAGTCGTGAAGCCTTAGGGCTTAAGGTTTGGGGCCAAGAAACAGGGCATTGCTGGTTTCGGGGTCGGGCCTGAAATATACCTAAACCCAATATTTCTAAAACACGCAAGCCCCGAACGCTAAACCTACTTTAAACTACCAAACCCTACTTTTTCTGTAGGCTCTTATTATAAGCCCTAATACGGAATGTATAGGGTCGCGGGCAAAAAGTAGGTTTTGGTAGGTTAATGTAGGTCGGAGATGGAGAGCATGACATGCAGACTCATGCTTAAAGGATCATGGGACTTAGTAAGTAGGTCATAACTGGGGCTATAAGTCCCCTAAGTGGGGTTATCCTAATTATAAGCTACTTATAACCTTACTTACTAAGTCCCATGAGCCTTTAAGTGGTTCATGGGCCGTCGAAGAGGCTTTGCGGCGAAATCCGTTTAGGGCTTAGGGTTGAGGGAAACTGTAAACCCCAATCCTTAACATTCGGATCAAGAAGGATTCATGAACTCCGTCTGCTTGCGAGGGGCTTATCTAGAGGAGTTCTGTACAGATATTAATATGGGCTGTTGAAGAGAACCGGCTATTCGGCAACCGAAAGGCAAAGGTTAAAATCGAAATATGCAGACCCGAAGCCCCCGAAGAAGCCTCCAGCAGCAAGTCAAGCCCTCCAACCTCAAAAGATACAACCTTAAACCCTGCTACCTTCATGAGCCCCAACACCCTCAGCGCTAACCCAAAAACCCTCAAACCTTCAAACTCTTGAGCCAACCCGTAAACCCTGAACCTTGAACTCGTCAGCCCCAAATACGACAATGGCCAAGGAGCAGCCATTGCGCTTCGGGCGACGGAGGACATGGTGGTGAGTTTCATGGAAGTGTTGTGGGCAGAGTCCCTCCACGATTGGAGGTGACCGTCCACCTGGGCTCCATAGGTTTGCGGCAAACCTGTATATCCAAAACCCTGGACGCTCAAGCGCTTTAGGGCTTTCGGGCTTAAGCGGCCGTTGATGGTTTAGGGCTGTTAAGACACCACTCTCCACCTGCATGGGTGACCCTGAACTGCGTATATAGGCGCAAAACCGAGGGGCCTGAGTAATGCAAATCGGGTTCCCTGAGAAACGGTTCGTTGCAAGGGCTTCTAGAAGGGTCTTAGGGTCTAGTGGTTTGGTACAGGGGCCGTAAGCAGTTAACAACCCGAATAAGGTTTCGGGGCACATAGATCATGGCATAGTTTCGCAAATGAAGCCCTAACCTACGGCTTTACTTCTGCGAACTTCGAAAAAAATCAGAGCAGTAGCCCGCAACCCTCGATCCCAAAACCCCACAGTAGAAGCCAGAAAGTTGGAACATAGTTGTCCTAATGGCCTCAAGGTAAAGTAGATGGAATCCTCGCACTAATCGTCCTGAATCCATGTTCCAACTTTCTGGGGTTCACTATAAGCTCCAAACCGTTTCCGAAACCCAGCCACCGTGAAGTTGCCCCAAAGGCTGGTGAGGTATTGATCGGCGGCGCACTCCTTTGCTGCTCTTCGGCTGAAGGGACGAAGGTTTAGATTCAACGGTTGAGGGTTGAGGGTTTAGAAATCACCCAAACCCTAAACCCGACAATTTCGGGTTTAGGGTTTTTGATTCAGCGGTTTAGGATGCATCGGTCCAGGGCCTCTGGGTTAAGGATTCAACTATGAGGCCGGCACCGGTGGGAAACAGAAATACATCTCCTTTAAAAGCTTAGGGTTTAAATACTCACTGGCCCAAAACCCAAGGAAATGAAAATGGAACTTTCATTATCGCCTTATAAGAACCTCAAAAGTTGAAAAGTTGAGTTTACAGCCAAAACGTATAGGGTTTAGGGTTTAGGATGGTTTAGGGTCAGAGTTAGAGAACCGCTATAGAACCGAATAACCCCGTCGGAAGTAAAGACCACATCAAATCTACGAATCAAGACACAACTATACACCCCCTTCCTTCCTTGACAAGACCCAAAACAAAACCCAAACCAACAGCAACGAAAAACACACAAGCCGAAAACCCCTTCCCTTATGGCAAACACCAGAGAAACACCTTCCTACCTGTCACATTGTCGAGTATCCTGGGGAACTAAAGGTTAACCTTTGGAAGGATACTGGGGTTATACAATGCCCCGAAAGGGTTAAAGGTTACCTACTCTACTACTAGGCATTTAGAAAACAGAATACCCTAAACCCTAAAACCCTAAGCCCAAACCCGTAAGCTCTAAACTTTAAACTCTACTAGAGTAGAAGCCAAAAGTTGGAAACCCAATAGCCGCAATCCTTAAGAGTGATGTATAGGGACTCGCAGCACTAATTGTCCGTAATCCGGTTTCCAACTTTTTAGGGCTTACTATAGGCGTTTAAGAAGAGAACTTTAAACAAAACACCCTAGACCCAACCCTAAACCCTAAACCTTAAACCCCTATTAATAAACCCTAAAAAGCTCTAAACCCTACGAGGCATTTGGAAAGGAGAGAATAGGAAAAAACAAAGAGGGAAGGCAAGTCCATACGCCTAAACCCTTAAGCTCGAAACTCTAAACCCTACTAGGCGTTTAAGAAGGAGAGAATAGCAAAAAAAAAGAGGGAAAGCAAGTCCGTGGCCCTAAACCAAAAACCCGAACAAAAAAAAAATAGTGAAAGCAAGTGCATGGCCCTAAACCCTAAATTAAAAAAAAGAGAGTGAAAGCACGTCCATGGCTCGTAGACCCACCCGATCGTCCTCAGGAGGCGGCCTCCGAAGGAGACCTTGGAGACCGCTGGGCTTTGAAGTGGCCAAAGGAAAAAAGGCACCTAAAGGGATCTATAGGGATCCTTAAAGGGATCTATAGGGATCCTTAAAGGGATCTCTAGGGTTTAGGGTTTAGGGTCTACTTGGAGGGGCAGGGGACTTAGTAAGTCGTTTAGAAGTAGTGTCATAATTGGGGTAGCTCCATTTAGGGTACTTACAGCGATACTTACAACCTACTTACTAAGGCACCTGCCCCTCCAAGTAGGCTTGTATTTCGTGAATGGTTCCCTTTTAAGCAACAGGCTTCAAAAAGTAACAAAGCATGGTACTCCAAAACCCAGACCAGAGTACCGAAAACAGTGGTCGTGGGATGAGGTTTGGTTTTAGGGTTTAGTGGTTTAGGGGTTTAGGCGTTAGAGGTTTAGGGGCTTTAGGGGTTTAGGTTTTACGGGCTTAGGAGTTTAGGGGTCTAGGGCTCTTGGGCTTAGGGTTTAGGGGTTTAGGGGTTTAGGGGTTTAGGGTTTAGGGTCTAGGGATTTAAAACGGGAGAATGTGGGGGGGGGGGGAAAGGGAAGGGTTGGGGCTTGAGGGTGGAGGATTTGGGGTTTGGGGTTTAGGGGCTTCCGGGGTGACGGGGTTCGGGTAGAAGGTTTTGCGTCTAGGTGATGCCTGGGTGCGGTGGGGGCTCTCGGCTCGAAGATTGGGGTTTAGCATTTTTGGAATTCAGAGGGTGTTCTGGTTTAAGGTTTGGGGTTTATGAGAGGGTGTAGAGTGTAGGGTATAGAGAGACGGAATGACGGAATGTAACAAGGAGCTCGCAAACGAAGTTCAATGTTCCCGGAACTCAACAATAATTCGTAGACCTATAGCCTCAATTCTAGACACACGTGGAACCCTTAAGCCTAAAGCTCTAAAACACCCAGAACTGTACAACCCCAAAGCCTCAAAGCCCCAAAACCCTACACCAAAGAAGTAACCCCCCCCCAGCCTGGGACAGTTCGGCTGTCTCCTTCAGCACACTCTTCGTCCAGCCATCCATGTTCCGGCCCACGACCCAACGCTCTAGGCGACTCACCAGCTGAGTGGCGCAAGTCACCTGAGGGCTGAAAGCTCACGGCGTGGGGCTGTGGTGTTGAGGGTTTGGGGTGGAGAATGAAAAAATCTTCTGCCTCACGGCTCCAGAACCCTAAACCTCAACCCCCCAAACGCCTAGGGCTAAAGTCTGAATGCCTACGGTAGTTCCTGCCCTCAAAACCTTCAGCTAAACCCTAGCCTCAAAGCCCTGAACCGTTAAACGCTAAGACCTAGACTCCTAACCCTAGACTAGCTTGGCCACTTAAACATGTTGCGACTATCTTGGCCACTTAAACATGTTGCTATCTGAAGCCCCATGAGCGAAAATTGTAAATATCCTAAAGGCCTACCTAATAAGAAAAACTCAAGAACTTTGCCTCCCGCACGAACTGCTGGCGCTTGATTTGGTTGCCCTTCCTCGTGTGGTGGTGGGTTTTGGGTTTAAGGTGTATGGGGCAGGTGTCAATGAAATCATACTTGCATTAATTTGACTGGCCTACACAAAGGCATGAAACGCGAAAACTGTATGCAACGAAAAAATGCCAAGCTACTAAACCATAGACCGTGAAACCAGGAACCCTAGTTAAATCCCCAAGCCCAGAACATAGAACTCTCGACTTCAAAAGCCTACACCCTCAAGCCCTAGAGCCTTGTAAAACCCAAATGAAACCTATACAGAATTACGGAACCCTTTTGGAAACGTGATAGACTTAAAGTATTTGTATAGGAGTATGGAACCCTTATAGATGCTTCATAGAACCTCTCGGGTTTAGGTTTTCGGGGTTTAGGGGTTTCGGGTTTGGGGTGTAGGGATTTAAGGTACAGAATTATGGAACCAATGTAGAACCCTCACCGAGATTCTTGTCCGAGCCCCACTTCAGTTCTCGCTCGAGGGAGCTGCCGATCACGTCGCGGCCTGGGACGCCATCCTCCATGCTTTAAAGTACCCGCAGGGCTATTTAGGATTTACGCTTTAGGGTGTTTTAAGTTGCGGTGACTCTTTTGCATCTGCCAAGGTCTGGCGCTCAACTAGGCCACGCAAACCTTGAGGATCCAGGGTTCTGGGTTTAGGATTAAGGTTTTTTTGAGCTCCTTTTTCCGCCTAGGGTGTAAGCCGTCGACGAAAGACCACATGGGTCTGGAGACTCTGGCCCTCTTACGCACCTCCGCTTGCAGGGAGGAAAGACGAAGTAAAAAGCCAGACCCCAACCATCACAGGCTGAGCCATGCAAATATGGTGCGGACGATTTTCAACGCCACCATATCGAAACCTCGACAAGAGACTATCACTTGTAGCAATGTAGCATGTGCCGGCAGGTCACCCATGCTAGACGACCATAGAAGCCATGCCATATTGGATTCACAACTCTGTCATTGCAGCCCATGCTTAACCAAACGTGATATGCAGAGTCACAGCCTGCTCAGAGGTACGACCAGAAAAATCAGCGTACCCTGGTCCATGAACCCTGACGTTCAGATGCTCACCCCAAACCCATGGCTTGGTAGCTGCTTTCGAAACCGGCACCCTCCAATGATGATACATGTTTGGCCAGCTTGCAAAATCACATGGGCGTCTGTACCAGCCACGTCCCCATCCTGTGGTAAAACCATAACCACGCCCCGAACTTCCGTACCATTGCTTCCAGCAGTTGCCACTCCAGTCCCAAGTACGCCCCTGATTAAAAGGGTTTCGTCCATACCAGCGATTGCGGCACGGGGTAAGTGTGTGGCAGCAAGCGTCCGCGCCTGTATCTTTGAGGTCAAAATGACCATCCTCAAAGGCATCTCCTTCGCTGGTGTACAAGTCTTGGCTCATCTGAGCTGATGTACCACCCAAAGTATGATCCTTTCCTCCAATTCCATCCGGAGCATTCTCAACTTCTAACTCATGAACATCCGACTTCGCAAGTTGCTTCGATGCTAGGCCCACAGTTTTGCAAGGAGCCAGTTTATTGCGCCGTCGCCCGTTTTTTCCCAACCTTCCGGTCTCAATTTGCGGCCGTCGTTGAAGCATCCTCATCCAAGACCACTGTTGACCCATTCACTGCGCCGCTGTCACTTTGTTCCAGCTGTTGTACCCTTTCCTCCAGCATGCAGCATCTGTTTGAAAGCTGTTGCAAGACCACGTTCTGCTCAGTAACCTTGGCTTCAACCTGCGCCAAACTCTCCTCTCAGAACTCTTGCACCCTCGTAAAACTCTCCTCAAAAGCCTGATGGCTTGCCCTTTGTAACACCTGAGTCTGCTCAACAAGCAGCGCCCGCAGCCTACCCAAGTCCACATCAACCTCGGGCTCTCATAGCCCGAAGTCCAGGCGGCAAGGAACAATCACGCGGTTCCATCCGAAAGCACACGGCGAGGAGGCTGACACTCGGGCTCTTAAGCCAAAGCTTGAGCCATAGTGCCTCTGGTTTAGGGTTTAGGGTTTAGCGTTTGTTTAGGGTTTAGGATTAGGGTTTAGGGTGCAGGGCCGTGGAGGCCTGGATGCTTGCTGACGTAGCAAAACTCTCACAAAGACAGTCATCGCCTACTACACCACCTCTGCACGCTCCCCATACACTAAACCCTAAACAGTCAGCCCTCAATCCTGGGGCATAGGCCCCTAGACCCAGGAAAATGTAGCCCTGGGAGCTCCAACATATTGATATCTGAGTAAAACCCCGTGGAAACCCGAAAGAACTGCGAAAACTGTATGTGCATATACACGATACATACACATATGCATATGTATACATGTATGTACACACATACTTCTATTTGGTTCTAGGGTCTATATACACACATATGCGTTTACTTAGTTGGTCACGTGGTTACTTAAAGATTTGCCTATGGGTCTGACTATCTGTTCTTCATTTGCTTGAACTGAATAGGACAGCTTTACCCACATTTGTATGTATACCTATATCTATGCGAATTGCTATAATCGTATATGCATTCTATGTACTATGTCTGCTTGTTTATCTGGATATTTCTATATATTATTATGTATTTACGTGTACATAATATGTGGGTGTGTATATGTACATGTGTATGTGTATATAGATTTCTACACATGACTCCGGAACGTCCTGGCCGCCCTGCGCGTGCCGCTCGAAATCCTTTTGAATATCCTTGGCCAGGTGATCCGTCTGCATGGCGAGGTATAGCTTCCCGATGTACCTAGGGCGTTCAGGTTTCGGGCATAGGCTTTAGGGCTTACGATTCATGGTTTCGCGCAGCGCTTTAAGAGCCCTCTCGTCCTTTTTCTGGTGGGCTTGAGTCACAGAGCTGCCTACTCTACAAGAGCCCTAGGGTTCTTAAAGATTTCAGGGTTTAAGTCTTTAGGGCTAAGAGGGTACGAGTAGGGGGAGCTAGGGGTTTAGGATGCTACCCACACGGAAGGGTTTGGGGTTTAGGGCTGAAGGAGAAGGGTTCCTGGATGGAGGGCATCAGGGATTAGGGTTTGGGTTTCAGGAGGCCTAAACCCTAAACCCTGACCCCACACCCTAAACTCAACCTTTAGTGATCTACCTTAGGTCCGGCCCCCATACAGTAACAGTCTATAATTGGGCAACTATTAAGGGCTTTATATATCTATATTATGAGTATTATCCAACTGTTACTGAGTGGGGGCCGTACCCAAGCTCTACTCGCTTTCGAATTTCACTTCGCCGGCAAGGTGCTTCTCGAACTGTTCCGCGCCGAACAGCATGCTGAAGAAAAGACCGGGATCGATGTTGGGGAGTGCCTTTCAAAGGGGAAAACGAGGGACCCTTGGATGGGGACCCCTACCCTATAATGGGCTATGTAATGGGTACACAATAGCTATATTAAGGGTATATACCTTGGGGTCCTTATTAAGGGTCCCTCCTTTTACCCTTGGTGCCTTTCAACCGTGGGTTTCGCGGCTAAGGATTTAGCGCTTCGGTGCTTCAGGGTTTGAGCTTGCGGTTTGAGGCTGGGCTCCAGCTCCGTAAGGGCTTTTTTTGAAGGGTACTTGGGGAGGGGGCTCCTGTTTGCTGCTTGGACGACATCACGGGACATAGTAAAGTTCTGAATACCTTGATATAATTGGGGTTAGAAGTAATTCTATGCATAGTTACCTCAGTTACAGCCCGAGTTACGACGGTTGATGATAAATATATATATATATATATATACATACATATATATATATATATACATATATATCCTGCAGTACCCACAATCAGAAATATACCATAATTCCCATGGTTTAGGGTCCTTAGGGTCATGCAAGATTTGCATCATCAACCGTAAGTCCCATGAACCTGTAAGAGAAGTCCCAAGGCGCTTGGTCGCGGATGGCGTCGGCACCGTCCCGATCGTACTTCTCTCTAAGCTTTGGGTCGCTGAGGACCTGGGAAAACGCCCAGTGGTCTCGGGTTACTTTTGGTCTAGGGTGGATGTAGGAGTTTAGGGTTTAGAGTTTGGGGTTTAGGGAAATGGTCTACGGTTTAAGGGCTTAGGGTTTAGAGCTTGGGGTTTGGGGTCTAGGGGTTTCGTCTAGGGTTTGGGTTTCGTACTTAGGGCTCCCACGTGCCCCCATGTCTATTGTAGGAGATTGTAAGGGCCTTCAACATTAACAATGAGCTTGTGGCGCGTATGATCGTAGCTTTCGAAATTCCATACCGGAACGCAGAGGGACAAACTACAACATATTTGGGTAGCTCTCCCAATTGGGGTCTGCCTTTAGGTCCCCAAAATCAACGGCACCCTCAACAAAAGGATCTTAGAAGGGGACCTAATCTACAGAACTGCCCTTCCTCATGCCCCATGTGGGAGTTTCCGAAAATTCGGAGTACCTTACTTTGGGGTCCTTACAACAAGGATCCCAGCATTTAGGGTACTCCATTAGGCTCCTCTATTTTCGGAATCTACCATTTTTTTTGCGCCGAAACCTGAAAGGTGCACGAGTTTCGCGGTGGGTCCGGGTCCGGGTCCTGGAGAGGGAGGGGGGGGGGGGGTTCAGTGCTTGAGAGTCTTCGCTGCAGGCACTGGGGTTTAGAGCTTAAGCTTTAGGGCTTGTGGCTCTCAGTGTAGGACTTGGGTTGAGGGTTTAGGGTTTAGGGTTGAGGGTCTCAGGTTTAGGGTTTAGGGGTATGCGTGTGTGTGTGTATATATATATATATATGTGTGTGTGTGCACATGTATGTACGTGTGTATGTATGCCTGTATGTATGTATGTATGTACATACGAACCTGTATGTTCATGCGTTAATCATGTCTTGATGTGTATGTATATATATATAGATGTGTATATATATATAGGTATATGTGTGTATAAGCATATGTGCTTATATACATGAATATATATGATACTACTTACATACATGCCTACATACATACATGCATACATACATACATGCATACATACATACATACATACATGCAAAGATAAACGCGAACATACATGCATACGTACATACACACTTGCACACACCATCCATGCATACACACATGCATACATACATACATACATACAGGCATGCATGCATACATACATACATGCATGCACACATACATATGCAGATACAAATAGATATGCACATACATACACATACACATTCACCTATGCTTACATATACATATACATATATAACAAGTTACATGCATGCACATGTACATATACATGAGTAAATACTACCATCTGTTGTAGTTTACTATACGTAAGGACATATACTTAGTTTTCTGACATATGTAGTACAATATAACATGACACGCTATATATAATACAATACAATATGGGAGTTTACGAAAATAGGGGACCCTAATATAGTACCCTAAATAGTAGGATCCTTATTATAAGGACCCCAAAATAAGGTACCCCTATTTTCGGAAACCCCCATATGTAGCCCAAGACCCTAAACCCTAAACCATAAACCCCTAGAGCCCTAAACCCTGAACCCTAAACCCTAATATAATACAATACCATATGTAGCCCCAGACCCCGAACCTTGCGGGACCGGGGGACCTGGTAAGCCTGAGCCAGCTTCTGGAACTTGACGCTAGCCTCGCTGGTGTCAAAGGGGAAGGGGGGAGGGACCCTTAATGGGGACCCGTATATAGGGTTCCTTAAAGGGATCTATAAGGATTCTATAAAGGGTTCAGGGTTTAGGGTGTATCAAAGGGGAGAAGGAGAATGCTATCTATAGGGATTCCATAAGGGTATAGGGTTTAGGGTTTAGGGGTTTGGGGGTTCAGGGGGTTTAGGGGAAGAGGAGGGACCCTTAATGGGGACCCCTACCCTATCATGGGCTATATGATGGGTATATAGTGGCTATATTAAGGGTATATACCTAGGGGTCCTTATTAAGGGTCCCTCAACCCTAAACCCTAAATCCTAAACCTTAAACCCTAAACCCTAAACCCTAGGGGTCCTTATGAGGGGTCCCTCCTTTTACCATTGGATCGTGGCTTAGGATCAGGCTGTCAGGGCCTATGGGGTTTAGGGGCTTAGGATTTAAGATTCAGGGGTTTAGGGTTTAGGATTTAAGATTTAGGGGTTTAGGGTTTAGGATTTAAGATATAGGGGCTTAGGATTTAAGATTAAGGGTTTAGGGTTTAGGATTTAAGATTTAGGGGTTTAGGGTTTAGGATTTAAGATTTAGGGGTTTAGGGTTTAGGATTTAAGATGTAGGGGCTTAGGATTTAAGATTCAGGGGTTTAGGGTCTACTTGGAGGCCCTTTTGACTTAGTAAGTCTACTTAGTATCCCCTAGAAACCCTATTAGAAACCCCATAACCCACCTTACTAACCCTACTTACTAAGTCAAAAGGGCCTCCAAGTAGGGGTTTAGGGCTTTCGGCTTTCGGTTTCGGGTTTGGGCTTTGGATTTTGGGTTGATACTATGGGGCTTTTGGTGGTTACAGGGGTCAAACGGCTTCGGCTTCTTGGGCCTACTTAAAGGATCAAGGGACTTAGTAAGTAGGTTATTACTACGGTTGATGATATGAATCCTGCATTACCCATAAGAAGGAATACACCATAGTTCCCATAGTTGAGGGTCCTTAAGGTAATGAAGGATTTATATCATGAACAGTAAGTCCCATGAGCCTTTAAGTATGGGGCGTGGAGGGCTTAAAGAGCGTAAAGTGCTCAAAGGGCCTCCGGCCTTGGGTCTTACAGGGCTTTGGAGGTCCAGGGAGTCTAGTGGTTCGAGGGGTTTTAGGTTGCTTTTCGCGTTGTTTGGTATTTTGGGGTTGCGGGTGTTACGGCTTAGGGTTACCATCAAGCCGTCGCTCGCACTTTTGCCCCATAACCATACCCCCTACACCTCTAGCGAGCCCTAAAACTTGAACACGCCTTGACCCTTAAAGCCGAAACTACCCTGCCTGAACCCAACGCAGCAAGGCCCGGCCCCGGAATCATGGGTTGAGGTTTTAGGTTTCATTAATCACCGAAATATCCAGAACCCTCCCAAACGTTAACGTGCTAGTCTAAAGCCCGAAATCCTGACCAAACAACAAATCCCAAACCCGAAAAGCCATATCTCATTAAAAGCCCGCAGCTCAAATAGCCATGGTCATGAGCCCCTCAATCACTACAAAAACCCCGTCAAGATCTCAAAAAATCTTGCTCTCGAAGACACAGGCCCTGAAACCGTCAACATTGACAAAACAGGCCTCTGGGTCGTCCTGGTTCTTGTCAGGATGCAGCTTCAAGGCTACCTGAGACTGCGACACCCTGACGCCTGCATCCCTGAACAGCAAGCCCGACAGGGTTTACCCCAACGGTCTAAAGGACCCGACACTCAGGTACTTGGGTTTAGGATTGGAGTTATGTAGCTTACTATTTGGGAAAGTCTGAGATAATTGGGTCCTTGGACCCTTATAGAGTTAGGATAAAGGGCACAGGGTTTAGGGTTTACGGCATGATCTCGAAAACTCTGAAAAGGAACAGACGCCTCAGCCCCGGAGCATGATATTCCTCATCGACCCAATCAGCATTCTGGGGGTTTAGGGTTTAGGGTTTAGGGTACGGTGATGGCGGATGGTGGTGGCGATGGAGGCGATGGGGGTGCGGGTGGCGGTGGCGGTGGCGGTGCTGGCGGTGGCAACGATGTTGGGGGGCTGAAGTGGAGGATAAGGACAAGACTGAAGCCACGATGGCCGCGATGCTGCGGATGCCAATGAGAGGTTGATGGAAAGTTCTGTGACGACGGCAATGGTGATGACGATGAGGTGGCAAGTTTTGGCAGGAAGTGCATGCAGCGGAACTGGCCATAACAATCGTTATGATCGTCGTCATCACAAACATCAGCACCACCATCACGATCAAAAGCTTGTCACTATCCCTATGTGCGTTGGCAGTCTCACTACTGCAATACCATGGCTCCTTCCCGTCCTCCTACCAGGTATCTGCATCAAGCCTAGCTCAGGGCAAGTTTGCAAAAACTATTCTTCGCTCTTCCTCTCCTTCAACCCTAAAGCCCTGAATCCAACTGCCACAAAATCAGTACAAAGAAGGCATGTGTGTATATGTACATACACATATATGCACACATACATACATACATACATACATGCAGACATATAGACGTATATATATATATATATATATATATATATATATATGCACATATACACATGTACATACATGGGCCCTATCTGCCAGCGGCCTTGTAGTAGTTCTTCTTGATCTCTGCTGCAGACGCATTGGGCTTGACCTCCAGAATGTCATAGAAGCTTGTGTCCGCCACCTGAAACCGATCTTGCGCTCATGGTTTCAGGCCTAGGGGTTTGAGGGCCTAGAGTTGACGGGTTCTTAAAGGCTCATGGGACTAAGTAAGTACGGTTATAAGTAAGGTTACAAATAGGATAACCCCACTTAGGGGACTTATAACCCCAACTATAACCTACTTACTAAGTCCCATGATCCTCTAAGTAGCCTAAACTACCCCTTATAGAACCCCTATATAGATCCCTTAAAGGAGCCCTTTAAAGGAACCTACTTACTAAGTCCCATGATCCTTTAAGCTGAGGAGCTTCGGCTTCAAGGTTTGGGGTTTAACGGTTTAGGGTTTAAGGGTTTAGGGTTTAAGGTTTAGGGTTTAAGGTTTAGGGTTTAAGGTTTAGGGTTTAAGGTTTAGGGTTTAAGGGCTTAGGGTTTAAGGTTTAGGGTTTAGGGTTTGGGGTTTAGGGTTTAGGGTTTCAAGGTTTAGGGTTTAAGGGCTTAGGGGCGTAGCCTTACGCAGCCCCTAAGCCCAACACACTTCCGCCCAGCCCCCCCCCTTCACATAAGAAAGCAATAACAAGATGTGTCATCACAAGAACCTTCTTAAACCGTAAATATGTGACATACGATGTATATATATATATATATACACATATATACATATATGTACATACACATACATATACATATATATATATATGTACACAGATTCATACTAACATATGTGTTCGTTTGTTTGTTTATACTTATCTACTTGAAATAGGAAAAAACCCGAAACCCTAACACCTAAACTCTAAACTCTAAAACCCTAAACCCTAAACCCTAAACTCTAAACTCTAAGACCCTAAACCTCTACAAAGGAGCCTTTCGAGCTGGTCGGCCGTCGTCCGGCTGCTCGTCGTCAGAGCTCCTTATACACATTCCTAGGGGAACTAAAGGTTACCTTAGGATTTAGGGTTTTAAAGTTTCGGGTTTAGGGTTTTAGGGTTTAGGGTTTAAGGGTCAACCTCTGGGGTCAGATAGCGATTAGCCAAAAACCAAAGTTCTAAACCCTATACTAAACTCTATGCCCTAAATCCGCAAACCCCAACCCTAAGCCCCAATAGATCCCTTAACGGAGCCCTTAAAGAATCCCCTAAACTCACAGGCCCCAAACCTAAGGAAAGAAAAGTTGAAACTTTCAGAAACGACCACCTTGTAAGAACCCCAAAAGTTCAAAAAAAGAGTTTACGGCCAATAAGTAAAGGAACCCTAAAAAAAACAAGCCCCAATAGATCCCTTAAAGAAACCCTTAGAGAATCCCCTAAAGGAGCCCTAAAAATAGCGCTTAAAGGCAGCCGAGGCTCTCATCACCCATGGCCTCGGCCTCAGCGGCCTCCTTCCGCCTTTGCGGCTTCTTCGGTTTAGGGCTCTTAGGGTTTTGGATTCTTAGGGTTTAGGGTTCTGAGGGTTTTTGGCTCTTAGGGTTTAGGGCTCTTAGGGTTTAGGGCTTAGGGCTCTTAGGGTTTAGGGTTCTTAGGGTTTAGGGCTCTTAGGGTTTAGGGTTCTTAGGGTTTAGGGTCCTTAGGGCTTAGGGCTCTTAGGGTTTAGGGCTCTTAGGGTTTGGGGCTCTTCGGGTTTAGGGCTCTTAGGGCTTATGGTACAGGTTTCTTAGGGTTTAGGGTTCTTAGGGTTTAGGGCTCTTAGGGTTTAGGGCTCTTAGGGTTTAGGGGCTCTTCGGGTTTGGGGCTCGTAGGGTTTAGAGTTTAGGGTTCTTAGGGTCTTGGCGCTCCTTTAAGGGGATCTATATGGGGAATCCTTGTCTTCTGGCACGGAGTTCGCGTCTGGGGTGTAGGGGTCTTAGGGTTTAGGGTCTAAGGCTTAGGTTCAGGGCTCAGGGTCTAAGGGCGCTTAAGGATTCTATTTAGGGTTTCGGCGAAGAAAGCCTGAGGAGATACAGGCTTTTTGGGTTCAAGGGTCTATGGTTTCAGGTTTCAGATTTCCCCGTCCGGGTCGCAGGTTGCAGCAGTCATCCACCCAAAGGCCCTGCTCTGCATCCCAGCGCTTGTTCGCCTGGAGGCTCATCTGGAGCGCCTCCCGGAACAATAGGGCTTCGGGTTCCCAAAGGCTCCATGTACTATTATAGTAGATACTTAAGCCTTAAAGGGGTCCCTATATAGGTACTTTAAGGCCTAAGTATATACTATATGGGTACATGGAGCCTTAGGGTTCAGGGTTCCCAGAGAGCCCAAAACCCCTTAATTAAGGAATTTGGCTTAAATATATAGGGCTTCATAATATGATTTAAGCTATATTCCTTACTTAAGGGGTATTGGGCTCTCTGGGTTTAGGGTTCAGGGTTTAGGGTTTCGGGTTGAGGGTTTGAGGTTCAGGGTTTAGGGGGGTTCAGGGTTCAGGGTTGAGGGTTTAGGGTTTAGGGTTCAGGGTTTAGTGTTTGGGGTTTAGAGCTTAGCGCTACAGGCTAACCCTAAACCCAAAGGCCATAAGGTTCTAAGCTCTAAACCTTATACCCTGAACCCCAAACCCTAAGCAACCCTCCATATTGGAACTTTCACTCCGCAGAGAAGGAGGCTCGCCCAAGTTTTGGCTCACACTATTAATGACGATGCGGAGTTTGAGATTTGGGGTCTAGAAACTCGGGTTTCTAAACCCTAAAACCCTAAATCCTAAGTGTTCGCAAGGGAGGTTATTCACCAGAGTGCTTAAACTCAGTGCACACACACGCAGCGGGCTTCCGCCTGGGACCCCCCAGCCAATGTCACACAGGGGCCTTTATAATTAGAAGAGGGTTCCTTTAAAGGCTTAAAGGAGTCCTTAAAGGGATCTACAGTAGGGTTCTATAATACAGGGGCCTTAATCGTTAGAATACGGTTTGGGGGTGGTGCATTATACTACCATCATAATAAGGAAGCCCCAGAAACCCTGTTCTAATTATTGAAGCCCCTACATTAGAATCCCCTTGTTTTACGTTCGGGTGAAAGTCATGCTCCCGCAAGTCCAGTGATTATCACATTTTGGCCTTCAAGGCACCATTTCCCCCCACTCCATGTCTAGGATTAGGGTGTAGGAGAAGTTTAGCGATCTAATTTAGTGCACAGGGTGTGTTTCGTCAATGGTGCTGGGGCGCCAGCTCAAGCCACTTCTTGGATGTATGGGTTTTGCGGGGGTTTCAGGGGTCTGCAAGCGTCTCGGATGTTGGGGGCCCTCTTCGGTTTAGGGTTTAGGGTTAAGCCTTTAAGGTGTAGGCACCCTGTGGGCTCGCAGGGTTTAGAGATGGCACTACTTCCCTCATCCAAATGCTACACCCTTAACCCTCCCTATGAACCCGATAAAGCCTGCACTTGCATCCTGAAATCCTCAAACCTATGTCGCCCCAAGTCATCACAATGCTCCTGACCCGAAACGCCACACGAACAGAAGGATCTTAGCAATCTAGGGGTCAGGGCAAGACCTATATCTACACCATGGGGATCCCAACAACCCTACAGGGAGCTCCAGAAAGTTGGAATATGGTTTCATGGTAGGATACCCTATAATTTACCATAGAAGGGTTAGGACAATCATATTCCAACTTTCTGGCTTTTACCTTATACCCGTATACCCTCACATCCTTGCATGTCTGTGGCCTGTTGCTCTCTCATGATCACAAGCACCGTTAAACCGTAAACCCTAAACACTGACCCAACCACCGAAACCCTTTGAGCCATGCACCCTTAGACTAGAAACTACTACAGTACGACAAAGGCTTCCAAACCCCAGTTCAAATCATTGAGTCTCCGGTGCTACATGTGTAAGACAACTCTTATGGTCCCTACAAGCTCATATTGAAATCGACCCGCTTTATATGAAACACCAATTCCTATGTCTACTAATTATACACTACGAAACTAACACAAACCCCAAATCCCTAAACAAAAGCCACGGCCTCTGGGGTGTTGTAGACCCCCCGGGCGATCTGCGTGGCACCAGCCACGGCGCCCGTCAAGGTCACGGCAATCGCGCCAAAGGCACCAGTGGCAAGACCCTTGAAAAAGCCGCTGACGCCCTCCTGTTTTGAGGGTCCATTTCAGGGGCCTGAAGAGTGTACCAGGTTCTGGGGAGTATAGTAAATTTTGGGGCAAGAAAGACATTAGTGGAATATGAAAAGTATGATCATAAAGGGACTCTCAGCCAGCGGATGCTGCGGCACAAAGGGACTCTCTTCAGGGATAGTGTTACTCACATTACTTAGAGGGGCCTCCCTGGCGCCAAGCACTGGCGCAGCGATCAGCGCGCCGGTGCCCGCGACCACGGCGGCACCGGCCACCTACAGGGGCCAAGAAAACCCTCATGATTCATGAACATACTAACGTTTCTAGGAGTAACAGGAGGATTGCAGGCAACCTTCACTGATTTTGCGCTGCTTTTTACTTGAAACCCTAAACGGCCCTAAACAGCCCTAAACCCCAAAACAGCTCTAAACCCTAAGCCCTAAACAGCCCTAAACCCTCAACAGCCCTAAGCCCTAAGCCGTTTGGTCTCTAGGCCCCCGCCAACCTTCAAGCCACTCCCAACCCCATCGAAGACATCCCGAGGTCGGGTGGAGCTCAAGATCTTCTCCACTCCGGTAGCCTCGGCTCTTGTTAAGGGATTTAACTTAAGTTTTAATAATAATCATCATCATAATAATAATAATAATAATAATAATAATAATAATGAAGACATATTGTTTACTAATAATAAGGAAGACATATTGTTTGCTAAGGAAGCCAAATTAGTACTGTAGATTCCTATTATGATAACTTAAACACACTTAATTCACCATGATAAGGAAACCATATTACTTTACTATAGATCCCCAGTACTGTAACTTAATGTAATCTCCTTAACCAGAGCCCAGTAGCTGCCTCCTCTTCCTCCGTGCTGGGCGCGACTGGAACGATGGCCGTGGAGTCCGAAAGGACCTGGGGGATTTGAGGGTTAAACTTTGCACAATTGCCATAAGGAGACCTTAACGAATACGATTCGTACAAATTCAAGCTTCTATGTATGAAGCCATCTCATTCGGAAGGGACTGTGACAAAACCCTGAACAATCAGGCCTCTCTTTCAAGGACAGCCAAAGCCGGACACCTAAGATTCTGAATACCCCCGCCTGCTGTGGCTCTACCTCCACCTTGGCAGGAGAAGTGGGGCTGGTGACGTCAGGGGTGGGCGGGTAGGCGGAGGGGTCCATGGCGGAGAGCTCTGCCAGAATGATGAGGCGGATGTGGATCCTTGGCTCTTGTTAGGGACTTTTTGTTAAGATGCAAATATATGCTCTTGTTACTGACTGTTTAAGTTAGGTTACAATAATAGGGGTCTATAGAAAAATCACGGTTTCCTTATTATGGTAACTTAAACTAATATCTTTAAAACAAGAACCCTAAACCCCATAGAATGATATACCCAATATGGCTTCCCTATTCTGGCAACACAAACTAAAGCCCCTAACAAGAGCCCAGGATCACGTTGCCCTGCTCCAAGACATTCCAGGCGCACCCGGTCCCAGGTGGTACCTGGACGCCCTTCTCGGGAACAGCTGGCGCAGCCCACATCTCCTGTAAAAGCCTGGAAAGTTTAGGGTTTAGGGTTTAGGGGTTTAGGGTTTAGGGTTTAAGGTTTAACTTAGGTTAAGGATCGATGTGGGCTCCTTTAAGGGATTTTAAAGGTTCCTTTACGGGTTAAGGGATTTGATTTTGAGTTACCAGAATAAGGATACCATGTTATTTGCTATAGATCCCCACTATTGTGACTGAATTAATACAATAAGGAAACTTAGGAAACCATATTGTTTATTATAGATCCTTACTACTGCAACTCAAATTGAATTCTGCCTAAAGCCTAAACCCCTAAACCCTAAACCCGACACCCTAAACCCTAAACCCGAAACCCCAAACCCGAAACTCGAAGCCCAGAAGCTCAGCAGGTGGTGGCCCGGCCCAGGCATTGAATGTAGCATTCCCGGCGATGGGGTTGGAGAAGACGAGGCTGAAGTAGGTATCCTGGGCTTTTGAGTAGGTATCCTGAGCTTTTAAGTATATAACCGGGGAGAACAAAGTATAAACTTCTATTCGATAATGGTTCCTTGAAGAAAAAAGTATTAAAGTATGGTACTCCAACGCCCAGGATCTAAGCTCTTCTCGCTTACATACCAGACCAGCCCACAAATGCCCCGGAAGATGTCGTTGCCGGCAAACTCCAACTTCGTGACCTCACTTGACTCGGTGCATGTCTAGGCTAGGATACCCAGTAACCTAAGAATAAAAAGGCCTCGCTTTTTGGTATTGGGTAACTTTATAAGGAACCTAGGACTACAAAAAGGGAATAAGGGTACTACTGGGCATCCTAGTCTAGGAATCCCAACATATCGTCATCCGAGTCATAGCATTGCTGCTGCTGCTGCTGCCACTGCAACTGCTGCTGCCACTGAGCGGCTGCCGACGGTTTAGGGTTTAGGGTCCAGGGGCCAGGGTTGTGGTAGTGGCGCTGGCGGCCAAAATGGCCGTAACACTCAAAAACCACTCCATCTCCAGCCCAGAAAGGTCCCTAAACCCGAAACCCCTAAACCCTTAGGGTTTACGGTTTAGAGGTTGCGGGTTGGGAGACGCATCGCTTGGGTTCGGGGACGGAAGCTTTCGGAAGCTTTTAGCTGTGGAGTTCTTCTACCCGACCTCCTTGGATTTCAAAGTGTGCTCCTTCTGGTGCCATCCGCCACTATCGAAGAAATCTCCATCAAAGATCATGTTCTCCTCCATCCGATTGTCCTGGTGACATTGGCTCATGTCTGTGCCTACGGTTCAATGTAAAGAGAAACACATGCATAAAACTGGCGTCTCAGACCTCAAACACTAAATCCAATACCCTTAAACTGGGCTTTTGAGTGACCAGGGAGACGAAGGTATAATCTTCGTGTCACAATGGTTCCTTTAAGAAAACGTATTAAAGTATACATGGTACTCCAAAGCCCAGTAAACATACACCCACAACCCTTCCAGCGTAAACCCGAACACCCCGATTCTCTGGGCCTGGCTCTTTCAACTCTACAGCCTGTAGCCCCAAAGCAACACAACCCTGAATCAAACAACACCCCTTTAAAAGTCTTAAGCACCCTCGAACAACTTTTGACAAAACACTACACCCTAAGCCACAACCCTAAACCCCAAACCCTACACCCTAATCCCTAAACCCTTAACCCCTAAACCCCAAACCCTACACCCTAATCCCTAAACCCTTAACCCTAAACTCCATCTCCCAGCGTCCACTTCCAGGATCAGCCGCCGGTCGACGAGCGTCATGCGCGGTGCAGTGTCGATGCTCTGGTCCGTAAGCGTTGACCGGCCTCAAAGCTGCAGGTTTAGGATCTATGCGTTTGGAGGGTTTAGGGTTTAGGAGTTTAGGAGTTCAAGGTTTAGGGTTTAGGGTTTAGGAGTTTAGGGTTTAGGAGTTTAAGACTTAGGTTTTAAGGGTTTTTTCGGTTTAGCCGAAAAGTTGCATCTGTGGATTTGGGTCGAGGGTTTAGGGTTTAGCCTCAAAGTTGGATCTTTAGGATTCAGGGTTTTGCCTACTAGTTGCATCTGTGGGAGTTAGGATTAGGGGCACCACCCTTGGGGGTAGAAACCCTCTCAATAAGGTTCCTTTTAACAGGGCCAGAAGTAGGGTGAAGGGATTTAGGTTTAGGGTTTCGGGTCCAACCTATAGTCTCCATTGTAGTTCCTGTTTTTGGTTAACCAAAATCTCTATTATAGGGTCCTAACCATAAAACTGGTTAACCAAAAAAAGGAACTACAAAGGAGACTATAGGAAGGATTTGGAACCGAGGTCTCGCTCTGCAAAGTCTTACGCAGATTTTGCATAGGTGCTGTAGTGCGGCTTGGAAGGGACTTCATAGGTACTTAAAGGATCATGGGACTTAGTACCTGGGGTTATAAATAAGGTAACTATACTCATAGTTGCTTATAACCCAAATTAAGGTGCTTATAACCTTACTTACTAAGTCCCATGATCCTCGAAGTAGACCCTAAACCCTAAACCCTATAGATCCCTTTAGGGAACCCCCATTAAGGGAACCCTTAAAGGAACCTTACTTGCTAAGTCCCATGATCCTCCAAGTAGTCCTAATTTCCGGAAACCCTAAACCCCTTAAAGAACCCTTATAGATCCCTTAAAAGGAACCCTCATAGATCCCTTATAGATCCCTTTAAAGGAAGGACGTTCAGATGAGGCTTTGTCAGCTTCTAGGGCCTGGGATCGATGGCCCAAAACTCGAGGGGGTGTTTAGGGTTTAGGGTTTAGCGTTTAGGGCTTAGGGTTTAGGGTACCCTAAACCCTAAACCCTAAACCCTTTTAAGTAAGGGTCTGGGGCCGAGGAGGTTTGGAGCTTCGGATTCGTACGTCGCTTCTGTCTTTGGCACTGCGCATGGAGGCATAGTTCAATGTCATCTAGCTTTGTCGCCTATGTTTGTTAGAGTTGTTGGAGTGCTCATCTGTGTATGTTGAAGGGAGATTGGACTCAATCTTTGTTTTACCTCTGGTTTCAGCTCGGAGGCCTATGGCTCAGTGCGGCGTGATTGCTGTTCTTGCGAGGGTTTCTTGGAAGCCTCAAAAAAATGGGATGATGGTAGGTAGGGTTAAGCATCCCCGATATCGAAACCCTCATTTGGGATTACCCCACCTACCTTCATCCTACCTTTGGAGGCCCCTGAGGTTAGGGCTGTCTGTCTTGACAGTTGAACTGCGCCCTTTCGACTGCTCTTCAGGCATCCGTCGTTCGGCCCGCAACTCAACTGGTGACAGGGGTTATAAGGGTTTAGGGTTTAGCACTGTTCCGGCTCTGTCCATGATTCATGGTTACCCTTGTGATGGCGATGACTGCCATTGGCTCGATGGCTCTTGTGACATATCTTGTTACTACCCCTACTAAGATCATCCGATCACTGTTACTGCTACTAACTGGTCTACTATCGTTAAGCATCTTACCAGTCTTACAGCAAAGTTCAGCTGCCACTACTTCTACGCATCACAATGGGTACTTCTCCGGTTTAGATGCTGAACTTGCATTTTTTGCGGTTTCTAGAAAAATGCGCGTAGGGGCCAAGTCGCAGTACCGGGCCTTGGCTAGGCGCTTGTGCAGCTCCTGGTCACATCTTCTTAGGATGCAGGGTAGGGAGAGTGTGAGAAGGGCTTTAGGTGTAATAGCCGGGAGCCAGCATAAATTGGCTAGGGCTTTGGGGTACATCGTAGTACAAAGAGTAAGGAACCTTAAGCAAAAGCATTCATTACACTTCTTCCGACCTCTACATAGGTTGCGGGTTGCGATGCAGAGAATCCGTGCTATCGGAAAAATGCTGCCCATTCACCAAGGAAGCTGCACGGACCGCCACCTTAAACCCTAAACTCCCCGAAGGTCGGACAATGATGCGGTGATGCGAGATGCCATGATCCTGGAAATACCCCTACCTTTTAGGGTTTAGGGTTGCCTAATCGGCCCGAAGATCGTGAACCCGAAAACCAACAAATACGCAAATCCCGAAAACCGTGAGAACCCTGAGGCCTCAGACCCGAAAACCTCAAAATAAGCGCAAAACCAAGCAACTAAAAATGCAAGATACTTTAGAAGCTGCCCCCACACTGTAATAGTGACCATAAGGATTATATAGGATTATATTAGGGCCCTATTATATTCCTACTATACCACTATTACAGGGTGGGGGCAGCTTCTAAAAGATACTCAACTTGCCAGGTCCTCTGGAAGAGGACTGTTCTCTGGTGGAAGCAGGATAAGCCGAACCACCACGCTGTCCTTGCCGGTTTAGCGGTAAATGTGTTTCAGGCGGCATGTTTAAAATCGAACTGCAGGCGTTCAACCCCAAAATTCATAACCCTACCACCCCTAAATCATCCTAAACCCCTAAAGCGCTCTGGCGGTGGTTGGAGATGTTACAAGCCACAAGCCGAACCTTCAGAATACTGCAACTTCGTTGTTCAAAAATGAGGGGCTTAAGGAATGGACTAGTGCATGGCGACTGCTTTTTGCTACTGGGTTTTGTAAGGTTTTCTAGGGTGGGCTTCTAAAGCCTTTGAAAAATCTTAGTAAATAAGATCCTCTAAAGCCAAATAAGGGAAAAACATAAAATGTCCCAAAGCCCTACTTTTTGTGGGGAAGGATGAAGCACGGTGTCGGATTTCAGGATGTAAGGTGCCAGGCCAAGGGTTCGGGAGGGTTAAGGGGTTGTGGATTTAGGACTGGGTGGGTGGGTGGGTTCTCCAGTGTTCTTGGGTTGCCCACTTGGAGGTTCATGGGTAGTTATAAGTGGGGTTCTAAGTCCACTGATATGGATTATAATTATGATTACCCTAATATAACCTGACCTATAACTACCCATGAACCTGAAGGCAGGCTTTGCCAAGTCACGTCTTGAAGATCCATGGTCTCCCAGGCGCAACCTGCCTTGTCGCATTTCACGCCCCTAAACCGAAGATTTCGAAAACCCTAAACCCGGAGCCTTAGACCAAGTCCCTAAATCGATAGTTTAGAAAACCACAACCTTCTTGACCCCTGAACCCTCGACCAACCGTAAACAAAGTCCCTAAATCGATAGTTAGTTTAATAAACCCTAAACTTCCTCAACCCTGAACCCTAGATCAACCCTAGAGCGACCAGCCCGAGAACCTACATCCTAAACCCTAGACCCTAAACGCTAGACCCTATAGACTTTATAGACTCTATAAACCCAATACACCTTAGACCCTTACCGGTGAGCGTGTAGAGCTCTTGTACTCGGTCTTATGCGGTGGAAATCATGGGTTCAAGCTTGGTTTAAGGACTTGTCTGGGTTGGCCTCTGAGGATCCTCTTGAACATGTTTAGGGTTTAGGGTTTAGGGTTTAGGGTCCCCATCAAACCGACTTTCGAACAATAGTGAAACAAGGCAGAGGCCGAGCCAGTCACAGGGGGTATCCTATCTACAGGGGCTTAGTTATTAGAGCAGGGTTTGTTTTTGGGTTCTTGCAAGGGTTCTACAAGGATTACTACAAGGGTTTCCTCACATGGAAAAGGTATTTGAGGGTTCAGGGCCCATTGCTGGACACTTTTTCTGAAGGTCTTGGTGTTTTCTTGACCGAAGACTTGGCGAGTTGTGGGAGAGGCAGACAGCACTTAAAGTTGTGAGGTTGTTTGATGCTCTCGTTGCGGAGCTGCTTAGCATACCTGGATAATATGCAGCATAGTAAGGAGACTACATTTCCCCGCTCACCGTGCTGTCATCACAACCCGGACTATGCTAGTCCCAAACGGTGTCGTAGCGGCATCCGTTGACTGTCAATGAATGCAGCCACGACTTCCCCGCAATGGGTGCATCGTGCCAAAGAGTAAATCTTACGGAGGATCAGCTTGCCGTGCAGAACCCTCCAGCACCAACCTTCAGACCTCCGCAGAAGAAGCGACGAGGGAGGGCAGAAACCCTAAACCCTAAACCGAAAGTGAAAGCCCTTCCAGCCGTCCGCGCCCCTAGCACGCTCTGCGCTGTGGAGCCTCCGTACTGACAGCGTAAGACTGCGTGTCTGCACCTGGCGCGACAGCGGCCGAAGCGTGCAGCAGCTATTGAAAGGCGGTCTTGAGAGGAAGCCGCCTGTCGTTCCAGATTGCTTGAACTTGCAGCGAAAGGTCCACAGCAAACTCCTCCAAACCAGTGTTCTCCTTGTGAACGGAAAGTGGTGACTCGTGGCACACACACACACACACAACCACTAAAATACAGCATGACCTCCGTCGGCAGCAGCTGTGC